CTAGACAGTGGACTCCAGTGCCAAAGCTATTTATCAGATCTCCAATTTCACTCTTTTTTTAAATGTTAAGACTTTTTTTATAAGGTGTGTGTGTGTGTGTGTGTGTGTGTGTGTGTGTGTGTGTATCCATGTGCACCATGGATATGCAGGTGCCCAGAGTAACCAGAAGAAGGCATGAGATTCCCCGGAGCTGGAGTTTACAAGGTGCTATAAGTCACCCAGTGTGAGTGCTGGGAACTGAACCCAGGTCCTCTGCAGGAGCAGCAAGAGCTCTTAACCACTGACCATTCCTCTCAAATCTAGAATGACTGGCTCTCTGGCATGTACAATTCAGCCCAAATATCATCTTCTGTGCAACTTTCCCATAACAACCAGGCTGAGGTAGATATCGCTCTTCTCTTAGAACTCCTCAGATAATATCAGTGTCCATCAAACTTCTGCATAATTTGTTCTGTTCAACAAGGTCCTTGGCAAAAGGAACTTTGAGCCTTGTTACTATTTGTGGTATCTTTGGTGCTATCCACATAGTAAATACTCAAATAACTTTTATGGTTGGTTGGTTGGATGGATGGATGGATGGATGGATGGATGGATGGATGGATGGATGGGTGGATGGGTAGACAGCCTGAGCTGGAGCTATCAGCGTTTATTTTCAGATAATCCAGCAGGTGGCAGAAGAAGACAATAACTGAACAGAGAATGGGCTGCCTTACCTTTCACACTGGTCACTTTCTTCATAATGGTTTCCTGACCTTGGCACAAGGTCACTGTCACTGTGGCTCCAGGTGTACCAAAGCCCCAGATCACCGCCCCTGAAGGCTCCTTCTGCAGCACCATGTAATTATCGATGTATGAGGCAAAGCGAAAACCAATACCTAAAAACGTTGGCAAACACTTAGGAAAATATCATCAGGGAGATTGAGCACCAAGTGGATATGGTAAAACAGGAAGTAACATGCAGTCCCTATACAAAAGAATGAATCTACTCAAGCCTTATAATCTTCCAAAACTAGACCTTGTTGCTCTTAACTAGACAAGCAACATAAGAAGAGTTCCCAACAATATGCATCGCAGCTTAACATGGTCATTAAGGAAAACTTAGATCCCAAGGCAACAACCAACGTACATATTCTCCTTCCCTCCCTTCATAGTTCTTGATCAACCCCACACCCCACACCTTGCTCTAAAACTTGGCTCTAGCACTTAACTTTTCTTCTTCAAATCACTAAAATGCACCATCCATGTACCTCACAGATGGTGTTTATAAGAAAAACAAACCACTTCCTTCCCCAACTCTCCATCACTGTGCCCACTCCTAGGAGCTAGGAAGGGATAGAAGGAAGCCCGTCTCCAACACAGCTTCTCTAATGCTGTGCCCATCTTCATCTTCTCCTTTCCATCTTATCCCTGCCAAATCCCTTCAATCATTTCTCTTGGTGCTTATTATTGTTTATTTTGTCATTGCTGTTCGGTTTATTTTATTTGGGGGGTGAGGGTTTTTTTGTTTTTATTTTTGTTTGGTTTTTGTTTGTTTCTGTTTTTGATGACCCGGTATACCACGCTTATGACTGTGGCAATTTATCTTCCTGGTAAGTTCAGATAAATTCAGGACACAAAAATAAGATCATGGAGAGGCAGAAGGTTAAAATCTCAGAGAAAAGGTCTTGTCACCATTTCACAGGCGAAGGAAAGAGGAAGCATACTTGCATATTGGATTCTGTGCTAAGAGTCACTAACAAGACTGAATAAGAATTCACTTTAACGAGATCATTTCTATTTTTAACCCACAGCCTATATCGAAGTACTTCTTAAATAACAAGCATTGATCCACATGATCCCAGTGAGCTCACAGAAATTTAACTAGGAAAATCATAAAACTTACATCCCAATTTGTCTCAACAGAAAAGAGTTGTTTTTTTTTTAAATCTCCAAAGAAAATAATTTACAAAATTAAGGGTTGTTTAGTTTTTTCGCTTTTTTTCTTTTTCTTTTTTTTAATAAAAGTGATAGGCAGGACAGAGAATTAGAATTAACAAAGCCGACATTTTCCTCCCTGGAAGCTACAAAAGATGGCAGGCCCCTTAGGCTATTCTTAACAGGGCAGTAGAGCTAATGGGGGTCTCCTCACACGCTTACTGCTCTTCGAGTACCAGACTCTAGTGCCTAAAAACCCTCAGCTCCCTTTCTCACTCGGGACTTCGTTTGATCACAAAGCCTCCACGGCACTCAAAGTTCATCCAGAAGGCCTAACAAGCTCAAGATGCACGTACCATGAGCAAAATACTCTGGGACCACAACATCCCAGAATTGCATAAGCAGGTTGGCAGCCTGCTGGGGAAACCAACCGGGAGGCATATGTGTGGGAGGGCCCTGTCTTGGGTAGATGCAGAACAAAAGCTGAAAAGCAAATGCATAAATAAGAGCTAAGCAGAGAGAGGGCTGGAGTCAGAGGCATGGAGGGAAGAAAATGTTGCTTACATATTGGCGTGTGCAGCCAGTAGTCCATAGGCTGGGGGATGCCTTTTCAAGCCAGCCTGTGTTTGCCAACACACATTTATAGAACCTCTCTGTGAACGGCTTCACGATGAGCAAAAGAATTCTAGAGGTGGAAACTATCTGATAATAATAGTATAAATCGTGTTACTTACTGATCAAGAGATATAAACACATTACCCATCAAGAGACTAGGGCACAGCTAAATTAAGCAATTTTTTAAAGAATAGTTAGAACAGCTGTGAATTCAACAAATATCTCTTTGTGGATACCTACTGTGTGCCAGACACTATTTTACACACTGAGGCTGTAACGGCGAAGGGAAAATACTACCAATAATAGATTTAAAAAAAAAAAAAATTCTTGCTGCCAGGGATTTTGCAGTCTACTAGGGGCTTACACATGTGATGGCGTGCTTAAGATACTGGAGAGAGTAATTTTTCTGACTGGCCTCAGAAGGTAGTTTATGACAGCATTAGAATCCATGTCATCTAATTCCAAAGGTATTATAACTTCCCTTTTTGCTTCAGTTAGATTGTGACGATAATGCAAAGAAAAATTATATACTCTATCCTTACAAAGCTCGCATTCTAAGTTGAACAGACCGTGAAACAAACTGAGGAACTGAGCAAGGGGCAGAAAAGAATGGCGTAGCTCCAACAACCATGCATATTCAGACATGAATTTTTTTAAGGTGTTGGATTTCTCCCTTCCTTTGGGAAGTGAAGTAGAAAACAGGAATGAGCGCTGTGGGAAAGAAGCAATCACTACAAGCAGACTAACAAACATTTTAGGGGAGTTGGTTGCCTCTGATGGCAAGTCAACCGTCAACCAATGTACAACTGCACACTGGCAGTCTCGATAAAAGCCACCGAGTTGTAGTTCTCAAACTGGGTGGTGAGTTCCTAGGTAACTTTCATTGCTAAATGTAACTTTTTATTACATTATAAACATGAGCAAAAGGAGCGAGTTAACGGAAGGATATTAGGATATGCAAGGAAGAAGGGAGAGAAATCTGGAGCATGAATGGATACTGTCAAGTGCAAATCAAGGTCATGTAATATGGCCCAAAGGAAATAAAACAATGGTAGTAAATATGACAGGCCTTAAGAGAAAAACTAAGAAAATAGTGGCTTACTGTCTGTACCTTCTCCCAGCCTCCTATGATCGGTCCCAAAGATCGTGAGAGGGATGAGAAATGGGGACCGACCACTACAGTGCACTAGCTTTGAAACTCTGAAAACCCACGGATGGGCTGGGCCGGTCTGGTGCTTGAGTAGAACCCAACCATGCCGTTTCTTCTCACCTCAAGCTTCATTTCTTTTATTTACTGTGGTGAAGAACGTCCAAATTCCTAGCCTTCTAGCCAAGAGCTCTAATCCCACTGAGCTATAATCCCAACTCCCTAAATGTCATTTATTGACAGTCTTTGGGGTCCACCCTTGCAGTGATCCAAAGAAAAATGTGGGTGGATCCAGCATTGTCACTCTACTTTGAATGAACAGACAGACTGCTGTCTTCTGGTGTCTCCACTCTGACGGGCAATGTCCAGCTCAGGTTAGTCAGGTGACAAGCCCTGGCCTGCAGAATAGCCAATGTGAGTTAGTCCCCTCCCCAGGGTGACGAGCCTTATCCCTCCACCAATCTCTCGAAGCTGCACCAAAATTCAGAGCTAAGCCTTAAATTATTCTGAGCTAGTGAGGGGGATGTATTTCTTAGCCCTAATAACCACTTAAACTTGTGAAATTTAATTCCCTCAAGGCACCCATCCCGATAGAAGCCCTCCCCAAGGGCCCCGCTGAGGGGGCAGGTGCTGAAGTATTTTGGATGACTCAGTCACCTGTTTCCAAATATTATCTAACTAGCTTCGCCCCCTTCTCTCGGAGCTCTCCTGAAGGCTTCGGTCTGGGCACATTGGAGCCTCTTCAACTTGATAAACCAAAGTCTCCCTCTGCCCCCTAGGCTGCAAGCAAGCGAAGGACCGACCGTGGGTGGGGATAAAGGCAGCAGGCGGCCCCTCGGTACCTGCACGCCAGGCCTAGGTTGGGAAAGAACCCGTTCTGACTCAAACCAGACCTGGAGAGGGAACGAGAGCCAAGATCCTGCAGAGGACCTGAAAGGCAAAGGTCCCACAGAGCCGTGTCACCTCACCTGCACTTCTGCTGGCTCGAACGATTACGAGCAGCAGCAGGCCAAACACAGCCCCCAGGGAAACCATGCTTGCGGAAATCCGTGTCTAGTGCTGGACTCCGGACGGGGCCCTAGGCAGGGGCAGTGACGGGGGGCGTGGTCTGTGTGTGGGCGGAGCCTGGGCGGGGTCACATAGCGGGCCCCACCCTCGAGCTCTCAATACGCGAAACCATCCGCGGCTCAACACAGGGCGCTCTCCCTCTCCTCCCGGCCGCCGTAGTTTAAAAAAAAAAAAAAAAAAAAAAAAAAAAAAAAACGGTTACCCAGCAACGAGATAAAACAACTGGAACCATCCGCACCAGCTTGAAGAGAAAGAAGAGGTGAGGCGGTTTCCCCCACTCCCTCTCCATCGTGGAGGCTTCGCCTTTTCCTTCGTGTGTCCGAGTCACTCGGCATCCCTGACACCCACTCCCTCGACTCCTGCAGCACACAGGGAGCCCGGAAAGCCCTTTCTTGGAGAATCTGGAACGTTAGGTCGTCGACGTCCCGCCCACGGTTTGACCTGTCTTCCCCCTCTACCGCCCGCGCTCTCCCGCCGGGTTCAGGGCTTTTCACAACCCTCGAAGATTCGATATTTAACCTCCTGTTTCCGCCCCAAAGAGAGAACGGGAAATCTCCCTCAGGTCAGGCCTCGTTAAACCTCCAGCCTAGACCCCTCCCAACGCCCCTTTGTGCCTCTCAGGGTCACAAACCCAATCCCTCCCCCAAGCAGCCGGTGTCAGCTACAGTTAAACCAGCCCTTGAATTTAAAAAAGTGAAATTTTATTCAACAAATTATAATAATTTCTAGAACCAAGACTAGGTTTGGTTGGTTGGTTTGGTTTTTTTCGAGACAGGGTTTCTCTGTGTAGCCCTGGCTGTCCTGGAACTCGCCCTGTAGACCAGGCTGGCCTCGAACTCACAGAGATCCACCTGCCTCTGCCTCCCGAGTGCTGGCATTAGAGGAGTGCTCCACCGCGCCCGGCTGACCATTTTGTTTTTTAATTTTAACCTTTAAACAGTTTCTTCTTAGCGATGTACAAGGGACTGACTATACTAGCTTCTCAGCAGTCATTATCTCTTAAATATTGCGGACTAGCAAAAACAACCCTCACCTTTTAAGAACAGAAAGACGAACTTAATATCTAGTGAAAACTGTGGTTCTCTAACTTTTAAAAAAATTGATTTGTCGAAATTAGTGGATCTGCCTTTTTTTTTGGGGGGGGGGTGTTTCGAGACAGGGTTTCTCTGTGTAGCTTTGCGCTTTTCCTGGAACTCACTCCTCCTGGCCTCGAAATTTGAGATCCGCCTGCCTCTGCCTCCCGAGTGCTGGAATTAAAGGCGTGCGCCACCACCGCCTCCCGGCTGGATCTGCATTTATAATCCTAGAATTCTCCGGCTGTGGTGTCGCATGTCTTTTAATCCCAGCACTTGGCTGACAGAAGTCAGTGGATCTCCGAGTTAGAGGACAAACTGGGCTACATAGTGAGTTCCAGGACAGCCAGGTCTATGTAGAGACACCCTGTCTCAAAAGGAAAAACAAAACAAAACAAAAAACAGTGATTCGTTATAGAATTCAAAACCCTAGAAGAAATGTGTAGACTTGGTTGGAGGTGAACTTTGTTTTCATTTATTGAGTGTGCATGGATGTAACCTTGGGGACACAGCCTGTCTATGGAAGTCCAAAGACAGTTTGTGGGGGTCGGTTCTCTCCTCCCACAACATGGGTTGCAGGGCTTTCATTCGGGTCTATCTTTACCTACTGAGATAGATCACCACCAGGCCTGGATCATATGAACTCTTCCTTTGAAAGTCCAGACTATGTGTGTCTGAGAAATAATTTGAGTTGTGATTGTGAGTTGGTTTGTCACAGCTGTGATTATGTAGTTTCAATTAGACACATTAAAATTAGATGCTTTTTACTGAATCTTCAGGTACCATAGGCAAGTCATTCCAAGGAGATGTCGATTCCCTTCTCCAACACCCACTACCGAATTCCACAAGGATTTGGAAATCTTCTTGAAGGGCTGACACGGGAGATTCTGAGGGAGCAACCGAGCAACATACCAGCTTTTGCCGCAGCGTATTTTGAAAACCTTCTAGAAAAAAGAGAGAGTAAGCTCTTTTTTTAAAAAAATAGGAATTTTTAAATAAACTAAGCATTTCGTTATGGTAAAACTTAGAATTGAGGAATATACCTGTCTCTGGCCTGTGATCTCCACACGTATGCAAACACATGTCCACACACCCCAGCACACACACACACACACACACACACACACACACACACACACACACACGGGAACACAAAAAACATACACATACACAAAAAAGAAAACAGCAACAACAGAAACTTAAGATTGTGTTCATTATGCAGAAAGCCTTTATGAGGCAAGTGGTTTCAAACACAGTTCTTGCTGTGAAACAGTATGTACCAGTTCACTCCCCAGGCCACTCTCTCGGCATGTCTCATCTGCCCGGTGTTGAAGGAGGTAGATCTGTTCTTAGGCATCTCTCCTAGCTGACTGCCTGCTCTTCCTGAGAGGATAATTTGCAGTTTTCTTTAAATTTTGATTCTTCTCATTTGAAAGTATTATAAGTGTTATAAAAATAATTCAACCCTCCTTAGATTAGATAAATTGGTTTTCGCTGGGGTATATGAAACTGTTCTTCAGCGAAGGCACAGAAACAAACTGCTTGGGCAAGTGAATTGCCAGTTGGGGAAGGTAATTTACATTCTATATACTCTCCAGGTCCCATCCCGCATAGAGACTAAGGTTTATACTAACAGTAACTATTTGATTTCGAGCCAAAGTGAGTTCAGTTCATAAATAGTTTCCAGATCCCAGCCTTGAAGATTCATGACTCTGAGGGTCTGACCCAGTGGTCAAAAGGGGAATGATCACAATCCTAAATTTGTACTGAGAACCTGCTCTTGCCTGAAACAATCATCGTATATGAGCTTTGTTATTATTACTTTGGGCAGAGGAGACTAGAAACAGCCCCAGGCAGGCAGACACTCCTTTGTAAATCATCTTACAGAGGGAAGAACCCAGAGTGAGGCTAGAATATAAAACAACTCCCATCCACACCAAAGAACTCCACCCCTGTCCCTTATGATCCTGCCTTTGAAGAACTCCAAATTTCACCAATTTCCTGACTACAGCTGGTCTGTCCCATATCTAGTCAGGGTGAATATTTGCTGCACAGTCTGCAACATTAGAGGAGAAAAGCTATTAAAACCGTTTAGTTAAAAGTAGTAGTTTTTGTAAACATGAATTTTGTTATTATAATATTAATTTTGCAGATTCATGCAGTAAAAATCTTTGGGCATTTGTTTAATTTTAGAACGTAGGAACATACCATTAAAAAAATATTTGAGTCACTGTTACCAGGTCACAGTAATAAAAACAACTGGTGACGAACAGCCCCAGAATACTGGCTCTCTGATAAACAAATGACGAAAGCCATTTGAAAACAATTAACCACCACACCCACTTCCACCTATGTCGACTGAACGTGAATTTCCAACTGATACAGTGTAAGAATTTAGCCTTCCCCAGCAAAGCCAAAATAAATCATCGTGGATTTCTAATCCAATCTCCCAGCCTGCAAGAATTCCCTTGCCACCATTTTTTCACAGGTGGTTATTAGTCTTCATTTTTGTGGCAGGAAACCTGTTAATAAACAGTGTGAATGGTCTCTCAAATCAGTAGGAGAAAATGAGCTCTTAAATGATGCTGAGATAAAAATGGAAAAACAAAGTAGCATCAACTCTTTATATCATCCATCCAGATAAGTTATAAATTGACTCCAGATTTAAATATGAAAAGGAAACCATATCGATGCTAGGAGAAAATGTAATTCATCACCTAAGAAAACACCTGGTTTGCTAAGTTGGCTTCCTTGCTTCAAACCCCCAAACAACAAGGGAGCAGATGGATAGAACTGACAACAGAAAAGGGCAACTTGTATGTGGCAAAGCACAATGAAGAAAACAAAAACACAGATAACAAACTGAGGGAAAAAATGCTTGCAATTTACGTCTCAGTAAGTTAAACCTAATAAAGAGCTTGTAAAAATAGTGTGTCCTAACTCACTAATACCAAGAGATATCAACAAACAGTTCGCACAAAGGCAAACACAGATAGCCCCTAACCTGAAAATTTGGTCAAACTGGACCATAATAGCAATTCAAGTCAAAATGTCACTCAACTGGGGATAGAGAGATGGTTTAGGAGTAAAGAGCACTTACTGCTCTTCCAAAGGACCCAAGTTCAGACAGCAGTCCCACTCCTGGCCACTCACGACTGCCTGTGACTACAGTTCCAGGGACTCTGCCTTCCTCCTCGTTTCCGTAGGCACACACACAAATACACATAATGAAACGGAATTACACGGAACCGCCATCAGCCACTCCTGCACATACTGTCAGAAAGCCAAGAGTTTGACCGGACAGTCTGTAGATAAGGCTGAGAGAAATAAGCCCTCACACCCGTTCCTACTAGAGATGGAAAGCAAAATCGGAAGGAAGGAATTCTGTAGTATCTGCCACAATTCCATATTTATTTAACCTGTAGCCCAGAAGCTCCACCTCTGCACTTTTCATTCTAGCATTGTTTGTGAAAACAACCCAAATACACATATTAGGTGGCTTTTGTTTCGTTTTTTGTACTGGCCCAAACAACAAGGCAAATCAGTCCTTAATACCTCTAAAATTGTCAACCAAAATATGCCGTTCCTCTTTTAAGTCCATTTAGCACAGGTACTTGTGACAGTAATAAAAGCTGACTAATGTGGAGAGTTATTCCAGAAACTTTGTAACTGTTTATGAGAGAACACACCAAGTAAGTATGCTACTGTCGTTGGGAATGAAATTTGGAGTGTAAGAAAAGAAATTATAGTTAGTTTAATAAAACCCTGTAATCTTGAACCTGAATTTAGAAATACCGGTGTGATCTTTTCTCTTTAGTAATGGAAGCAGCTCAGAGTGAGGCTCCTGGTGAAGCCAGAAGACCCACACCGTGGAAGGACAGGACAGAATCCTGAGACTGGTCGTCTGACTTCCAACCGTGTGCCATAGCATGCTCGTACCCATACATATATAGAGACATGCACTCACATACTCACGCCTGCACCCACTGTTTTAAAATGTATTTTTTAATGGAAGTCTTTTCTGGCTCCCTACATTTTGAAACCTCAAAATCATGACTGACTAACTGTTAGTGGCTAATATCCCTATATTATCATCTCTGAATACTATTTCCCATGAACCAAACTTGCAATTAGTTACATACATGTGGGATAAATATGTAAGAATAGGCTGACCATCTTTCCATCCCACAAAACAAGCTCCTAATGATTTTTAGGATTGCTAGCAAAGGCCTGAGGAGCATCCAAGCACATGAATAAGCCATCACTGACCAAATTTTGGACAAATTGAGGATCAAGAAAAATAATAAAACTCCATGGACCAGAATTCACCCAGGTTACTAAACATTTGTGAGCGCATAATGCTAAAATCAGTCACAAAGAAATCATCATCAGGCCACCTACGAAAGTACTGGGAGCCAGCTGGTTATTCTGAAAGCTGGTAAAGGAATCAAACCTGTAACCTTCTTGGGTTTTTTTGTTTGTTTTTGTTTTTTGTCTTTTTTCTAGAGACAGGGTTTCTCTGTAGCTTTGGAGCCTGTCCTGGACTAGCTCTGTAGACCAGGCTGGCCTCGAACTCACAGAGATCCACCTGCCTCTGCCTCCCAAGTGCTGGGATTACAGGCGTGTACCACCACCACCTGGCCCTTCTTGTTTTTGTAAGAGCCATATTTCAAGGTAACCAAATGGTTGACTATTTCCTTTATTGGGTCCACCCCAAAATAAGTACTGATTAATTTAGAATGTTATCAGTTTGTACCCCTAAATAAGTTCAGGAACAATCATCAGGGGCCTAAAAAATTATTTAAAAACTAAAGAGAGCAGGATATGACTTATCTTCTGAGATTAAGTACCACTACCAATGAGTATTCTTGCCAAAACAATCAAACCTAAATCAGATGAAGCCTGCAAATCTAACTACCAATCTACAGGGAATTCAAGGGCAAATGACCCTGTTAAAATCCCTTGTGTGGAGACAGTCGAAAATATCTACACTGGAAAATTCCAAAGGAAAACTGGCCCAATTTCATTAATAAATAAATTGCACAGTAAAATAAGGTGGTGGTGAATTTTCCACTAAAAATTCTTTAAGGCATAACAAAAGGCATTATGTGTCCATTTTGAGGCTCTGATAGGATCAAGATAAGTATATTAGACAATGGGGACAATTTTGGATAGTTGGCTAGATACAGGATGATTGTAAGGAATTGTTAATATTTTAGATATGTTAATGATACAGGCTTATATTGTAAAGACTCTTTTAGAGGTACAAATTTAAATATCTGTTGATTAATTAATAAGGGTATTTGGGGTTGGCCTGAAAATAACCAGAAGAAAATGTATAAATAAGATAAGAAAACCATGATTGGATTATTGTAGCCTCTATGTAATGTGCACATGGGGCCTGTTAGAGCATCCTACTTTGGGAGTATGAAATTCTTCATGATGGAAAACTAAAGAAAATTATCTTTGGATGGAAATACTTCTTGTACTTCTTGTCTATGTTAACTGTCTCTAATGTGTCTCATTTGAAAACTTTTATTTTTCACTTTTCCAGACTCCCTGATTCCTTACTGTATTTCACATACTTTTATGCAGTTGCTAATGAGTGTTCTAGGTGTCTATTTATTTAGAATATTGACACTTGTTCTTTCTCTCTCATTTCCTTATGAGTAAATGTCTGTGGAAGGCTCATTCAGTGTTAAACTCGTCGTCATAATTATTATTTAGTAATTATTTATGCAGCACTGGGCTGTTCAATGTCAATAAGATTTTCAGCTGTCAGAAAAGAACCTCTGATTTGAAACAAGAAGCTCGTGTTCCTGTATTGTTCTAGATTCACTATAATGAACACAAAATAAGTATAAAATTATTTTTGTTATTTAGAAACCAACTTTGATCCAGCAGAATGGGGGGCTAAGCTAGATGACCGCTTCTATAACAACCACGCATTCAAGGTATAGTCCTATGAAGCTACCAAATTTGGCTATATTTTTCTATCTATAAAAGAAATTATTATTGTCTCCCCGAATTTTTGAGAAGTGTGTCAAACATTATTAATAACTTAATAAAACTTCTTTATAATGAGAAATGATCTTCTGAACTATCTGAATTGAGTACTGATCCTTCACATGAACTTAAAGATGACCAACAGGAGTAGGAGCTTGATTATCACACAGTTACTCTCATCTCTTATTCTTTAAAGTTTATTGAGCATCACAAGTCAAGAATTATATCTCATAAAATAAAACATTATTAGTCCAACTTTTTATTTACATATTGCAAAAAGACTAATTTGAATTAAATATAATGGTAATGGTACACGCTTTTAATCTCGTGGCTCAGGGGCAGAGGAAGGCAAATCTCTAAGTTCTAGACCAGCCTGGTGTACAGAGCAAGTTCCAGGACAGCCAGGACTGTGCAGAGAAACCCTGTCTCAAGATAGCAACAGCAATAACAAGAACAACAACAAAAAGACAATAAATTAAATTTTTTTTAGAGTACTACTCTAGACAGCTGAAAAATGTCATTTTCTCAGATGTTAGACTCCAGAGACATTGGCAAAGTTCAGACTTCAATGTAGGCCAGTAGATTTGGAGAATGTCTTGTAGAAGCTGTTACTTTGCATTCAAAAGTGAATTTCTGTCCATGTACACCTGCTGGTATGAGGCTGATGCTTTTATTTCTAGTTTTCTGACTATCTGCACTCATGGGTTTTTGGGTTTTTTTTTTAGTTGAGATCAAAGAGATAATGTTGAAAATGTTATGCCCTTGTGTCACAGAAAATTCAAGGTGTTTCTTTTACTTTGGGTTTCCAGAGTTTTATGTTTTTCCTTTAATTTACATATTTTCAATTTTCCATTTTCCGTGTTAAAGCCTCTCTCTTCCTGAAGGCAGTGAGTTAGCAGTGCCTGTATTTGGTAGGAGACTGGACTAGTCATGTCAAAACAGACTGAGCTGGCTCCTTCTTTATGCATACATCTTTTTCCAAAGTGAAACTCACTTCCCTGGTTTAATATACTATTGATTTTAATTGCATAAAATAATAGTTGACATTTTCATGAATGCACGTAAGGTGCTTTGATCAAATTCACCCTCTATTACCTCCTCTTCTGTACTATTGACTTAGTTTTTATTCTATAATTATCATTAAAAAGTCAACCTGGCCGGGCGTTGGTGGCGCACGCCTTTAATCCCAGCACTCGGGAGGCAGAGGCAGGTGGATCTCTGTGAGTTCGAGGCCAGCCTGGGCTACCAAGTGAGTTCCAGGAAAGGCGCAAAGCTACACAGAGAAACCCTGTCTGGAAAAAAACCAAAAAAAAAAAAAAAAAGTCAACCTGGCTTCATATTATGGAATACAATGACTTTTATTGCTATTGTAGAAACTATAAACTTTTTCCCCCTATGGTCCTCAAGATTTATTACCAAACCTTATCAGCTTTCAGTGTGAGGCAGTCATTTATCCCTTGAGTTTTCCTTCACTTCCATTTATTGCAAGACAAATTCTTGTTTAAAAAAAAAAAACACTAATATATATTTAATTTCCCATGCTTCTCAATACCTTAGCTTTCCATTTCCCTTAAGCAGAATGGTCTAAGAGTTTGCTATCTTCAACACAATGCCTATGTGGCCCTCTTTTCTCTTTCTAGGACCCAGAACAAACTGAGAAATGTGAACAAGAAGTGTCCAAGTCACCTGAGAGAGAGGAAACACCAGTTATGGCCTTTGTATGTAGTATTTTCCACTTACTTTTGTATTCCTACACACAATGGCATGGCTAAGTTTAAAGTTGTGCACAAAATATATATCAATGTTAGTTATATTATTGAAATTAGAATTGTGCTTTCTAGATAACATCGGTGATAAGCTGGCAGATTATTTTCATAAACTCATTCTTCCCTTTAAAAATCTAGATCAGAAATCTTTCCATGGGAAAGGACAGACAGCTGAACTTGGGCCTCCTCTCCTCTTTCATATTAATATTCCACTTGGGGAATTTTTCCACCACGTGTTGCTGTTGCCACCCACCACACAAAGGCAAAGGTTAGAGATAACTAAAGGAAAACACTTACACACCACCAAATAAAATGGCCTTACACAGCCTGGCTTACTCATGGTCCCTGCAAGGTCTTCTATAAAAGTGCTTTCCTGCCTTGATATTCTCCATCCAAACCACGCAGAAATAGGAAAATCCACCCTCAAAGATACTGCCTCTCTCTCTGTATTCAGGGGTGTGCTAAAGCCGTTACTTGGAGACAATTGTGCACAGTGCGACAAACTTCATTTTGATTACTTAAAATCGGCCACCTTAGGGTATTGAGACTAAGGTAAACGCTACAAACCAGAGCTTTGGTGGTATTTTAGGAGGATAATATTGTTTCGTTCTATTATTTCTCTGTAGAGCCAGTTAAACACTTTCCAAAACATCATTGCCTGTACTCTTCATAGTCCAAACTAAGAAAAACCAGGCTTTACGAGGCAATGGTGGTGCATGCCTTTAATCCCAGCATTTAGGAGGCAGAGGCAGGTGGATCTCTGTGAGTTCAAGGCCATCCTGGTCCACAGAGCAATTTCCTGGACAGCCAAGGCTACACAAAGTAACTCTGTCTCCAAAAAAAAAAAAAAAAAAGGAAAAAGAAAAAGGAAAACCAGGTTTTGTATAAAAGAATTAATTCTGTACAATGTCAGAGTTCAAATGTTTGAGTTCTTTTTCATGTCTTAGTATCTCAGTTAACGATATTGATACCTAAAATGAACAACACCCACTCAGACACAACTTTTCCTTACATTATTTAACTATTGTAGAATAATACTCATACAAGCCAATTAGTCTAACCATGACATCAGATGTTGTAGGAATTTAGGGAGTACAGAAAGACAGAGTCGTTTCCTTACTTCTCTTCTAAAGGCTCTTTTATAAGCTATTCCAAGTTTGTGTTACAGTGCCATTAATTTTTAAGAGTAGTTCACTTGTCCATATTGGAGAATCCTCTCAAAGAATTTTATGCCAGTCTGTTTGTATTTAAAATTCTGTTGATAATGGAGGGGATTGAACATCTCAAAGCTCCGTCAGTAGTTGACTGAATGACTAAATTAGGACAATGGGACACAGTGGCCATGGCCCTCCCATCAAAACTGAGCAAAATTATGTATGAGATAACAGCATAGGAAAGAGAACCCAGATATGATGTTTCACGGGGAAAGTAACTGTAGAGCATTCCAATTAGTGTGGTCTTGTTTTCAAAATGAAAAGCAAATGTGTCTTCATGTAAATGGGCTCATACATAAAAGAGATTTTGGAAGGATGTATAAGCATACACAAATACACACAGAGACATGCAACCTAAAATAATGGTTACTTTTTAGGAGCAAGATTTGAGGATGTGAAAAATGTTTCAACTTTCACTACAAGTGATTAACTTGAACACTTTTAATGTGTGTTTATTATCTTTGTAGCTTAAAAAAGATACATTAAGGGTTATATATATTTTCAGTTCTACATTTAGGATCCATGAATTTTGCCATCTATAAATTATACCTAAATTTAAAAGAAAAAGAAGAAACTGTATGTCACTGTTTAGCCAACTCTGATAAACCCAATATTAGTAAACTGACTTTCTTTTTGATGTTCCACCTCTAAATGTATGGTTTTAATTGTCTAAACATTTAGAAATTAGAATTAACATCTTAATCCATCTTATATAATCACGATTACTTCAAAACAGCACATGTACTGATTACAGACACAATGCTATTTCTCAGGAAACTTTAAACAGGTACTATCTGGGAACAAGAGAGAAGACGTTGACAACGATCTTGTATTAAGTCGTATTAAAGAGTGGCAAGCTGAATCCCCGCTCTTTGGGCATTCAGCCTTTGTTACACATACAATGTGACAATGTGTAAACACCACTTCCGCCCCCAGGAAGCAACAGACCTCAAATAGTTGCATCTAGAAATTAGTTAAATCTATAGACCCATTTCTGCAGCATCAAAAAGGCAGCATTCTGGAAAAGTCTCTCACTTTCTCTCCTTTGATTGAAGGAGTCTACTGAGGAAGAAAGAGAAAAGGAGGAGTTCGCTGCTGTCAAAATCCAGTCAGTCTTCCGGGGACATCAGGCCAGAGAAGAGGTAAAGAAAATGAAGTCAGAAGATAAGAGTGAACAGGCGAAAGGAGAGGAAGACAAGTGAGGACACTGGTCCCCCCCCCCTTAGAAAACACGAAAAGTACTCCAAATCCATCATTGTTGTGATTGTCATTTTTTCCTCAGTAAGGGAAATTGGATGTTGTGGAATAACATTTGTTGCTGCTGTGAAAATCTGTCGTGAGCATTTGTTTAATAAACATGCCATTGAAACACACCCCTTGAAGATTTCCCTGGGAACAGGAGAATTGTCTCTGCTTGTCCCCAGCCAGTGTATAAACACCTTTGATATCAGCATCTGAACAGTAGTATCTGAGGCTTCAGCCTTGGGTTGTGTGGTCTGATACCTAGTGAGTAAACCCTCTCTACCCCACTCCTGGACACTGGCTTCAGTTCATGCTTCTCTTCTGCTGGTAACCTCACTGCCTTTTAAGTATAGTCTGCTTTCTGTTTTTTCTTGGTGATGGTGGTGGTAGTGAACCCCAGAGCCTGGACTGAGCTATATACTGAGCCCTGAGTTTTTGTTTAATAGTTTGAGTTGTTATAAGAATAAGTAAAGATCCTGCCTTCCTGTAAATTGTACCCACTGATGTTCACTTGTCATAACAAGCAATCATTCATTGAAAATGTATTGCAGACCATTTATGTGCTGGATCAGTGGTGAATATTTGCTGCTTTGACCACACAGCTTACAGTTTTATTTTGTGTTCTGTCTTCTTGAGACAGGGCTTGAGTATGTAGCCCTCCCTGAAAGTCTTTTTGCATCCCTCCAGCTCCAACCTTGTATAGGCAACTGCCACTTAAAATTCCTATTGGGGTGTCAGGTTTCTCAAAATGAACTTGCCCAAACAACTCCTGATATTGCCATCTCCAGCCTGTAATTCTTTTGGCGGTTCCCACTTTAGAAAATAGTGTTCTATTGTCATCTGGAGAATGGTCTATGATAGCCATACTTTCCGTTTTGAATGAGTGAGTTTATTAAGTAGATAGTACGCCTAACATAAAAGAATAAATGGGGATGGATGACAGAGGATAAATGGATAGACAGACAGACAGATAGAAACTGAATGCTTATTAAAACATGTAGCAGAAATCAACTGGTAAAGCCCCGTTGAGGCAGCCAGCTAGAGTTCCTGACAGAGAACATCCTGGGCAAGAACAGCATCCCCTGGTGAGGCTTCTAAGTGAAAGAGCAAATAACAGCAGGTATAGATGACATCATCAAAGTGGGCATTCCCCCTATCCAGCAGAAACCAACCAGAGAAACTCAGGCTACCAGTTGGAGTTCCCAGTTGAGCTTCCTGTCCATGGATGAGATTTCCCATGGCTGAACTTGTGGATTCTCCTTATAGGGTGGGTAAACAAGGAAGCAGAGTAACATCTGTTGGAGGCACTTCACCTTCTATCTGGCTGGTTTCAGGGGAAAGTTTTTACTCTTGGGCTGTTTTGAAGTTCTCTTCTCTCCCTGTCACATAGGTATGGGGCAGCCTTGTCCTCAGACAAGTGGCTTAGGAAGGACACTTTTGTTTTTTGTTTTTTGCAGACAGGGTCTCGCTATGTAGCTCTAGCTGTCCTGGAACTCACTCTGTAGTCTAGGCTGGCCTGGAACTCACAGAGATCTGCCTGCCTCTACCCCTCAGAGTGCTAGGACTAAAGGCGTGCACCAGTACACCTGGTTTGGAGGACACTTTTGAGACAGACATGTCTGAAAATGGATGTTGGGGCAAACCAGCTTCCAGTGCCAGCTTCTCAGTGAATTCAAACAACACATGATAACTTACAAATATAACATACATTGCAAATGGCCACTCCTGTCAGAATGCTGAAGAAAGAAGGCACTCCGAGATGAAATTATAAGGCCTATGTGGCAGCAGGAAGGTCCAGCCTCTCTGATAAACTGAACCCCAAACAGCCATACAAAGGCATATTTATTGAAAGTTACACAAAGTATTTCCTCATACCAAGGTCCATAATCTAATTTACATGTTTCACTAAAGGAGAGTATCACATACCCCCATGACTCTAGTCCTTTATTATGCATCATTCGTAAAAATACACAATAATACAAGAACCTCTAGTTGCCTAAAGCATCTTGTGACCAAAGTCATGGGGTGGCTACAATGCCCCTTCAGCAAAGCAATCACTGTCTTCCACATGGATTCTTCAAGGTCAAAGTATTTCTTAAAAAAAAAACCCAGCTGTTCATTTTAATATCTACCCCGAGTACAGGGACCCTGCTAAATTCCTACAACACAGTCCATTCTTCCATTTTTCCAGGCCCAACTCTCGAGATCCATCCTTAACTCATCACTTTCTCTCCCATCGAATAAAGGCTGGGCAAATCTGTGGTATCTACCCAGGAAGGACACTCAGAAGCTGACCGCCTCTCAGCACTCCCGCTGTACACGTTGATCCTAGTTCCCATCATCCCTCCTGTGCGTTACTACAGTAGCCTTAACATGGAGTCATACTGTGTGCTCTCATCTCAGGTCACCTGCAGTGCCTCTCCCGAAAGGTACAACCCCAGACAAGCCCTTCCCATGATGGCCACAGAGGCAAAAGCAGGAAGACCCCAGGCAAATATCTCAAGTCTTTGCACCTGTCGCTTGGGCTCCAATCCCGTTGACCAAAGAAAGTCACTTGGCCAAATACAAAGTCAAAAGGATAACCCCTTGCCTATTTGCAGCATAACAAAAGATTCTGTATACAAAATACTATTTTAGTTTAGGGTAGGGAATAATGGGGACCAATTTAACCTTCTGTAGTCTGCTTTCTTGGTTATAATTAACATCCTCCCCACATGCAAAATACATTCACTCTTGATCCTAACCCCTTAAAAGGTCCATCGAATCAAGTCTAGAAGCTCATGACCTCTACCAGGTCCAGGTGTCCCTTTTCCTGATGTAAAAACCTTTTAATTAAAAAAGCAAGTAATAGTCACAATGATGAAATTCCACTGAGTAGTCAGGTCCTGTGTCAGGTAAAAGGTGGAATAATGTTTCATGAATAGACACCTGGTACGTCCTCTGTACCTGGATCCCAAGTTTTCCTCAGGTATTTGCAAAGAACAGCAGGATTTCTCAACCTACTTCCTGTTTGTAGGAAATTGAGGGCCTAAGGAGCTGTTTATAACTTACAGGAGTTTCTCTCTCTCTCTCTCTCTCTCTCTCTCTCTCTCTCTCTCTCTCTTTTTTTTTTTTTTTTTTTTTTTTTTTTTTTTTTTTAGTTTTTCGAGGCAGGATTTCTCTGTGTAGCTTTGTACCTTTCTGGGATCTCACTCTGTAGACCAGACTGGCCTCGAACTCACAGAGATCTGCCTGGCTCTGCCTCCCGAGTGTTGGGATTAAAGGCATGCACCACTACTGCCCGGTTGAGTTTTTCTCTCTTTTAATTGGTGTTAATACTTATTTATAAATGACTTCTAAGCTTTATTTTTATTTTGTATGTATGAGTGTTTTGCCTGAGTGTATGTATGTGCACCAACTGTGTGCCTGATGCCTTTGGAGATAAAAAAAAAAAAAAATGCCCTGAAATTGGAATTACCAATGTTAGTGCTGGGAATGGAACCTGTGTCCTCTGCAAGAGCTGAGACATCTCTCCAGGCATTAGGTAATACTTGTGCTAATAAAGTTATCTTTAAATTAGTGAAGTACCCTTGTATTTGACTACCATCAACTCTATGTACTAAAAGCTAGAACATCTTTTCTATCTTTAAGATTTTCAAGAATTGAAACCAAATTTCAATAGAGCCAGTAGCTGTAATATCTCACTAATCTCTCTGCTTCTATTCTGTCTTAGAATTTTCCAAAGGAAAAGAAAGAACTGCGCGGGCGCATATGTGTACACACACACACACACACACACACACACACACACACACACACACACATACTGGTTTAATTATGGAGGCTCGGAATGGTATGCCATCAGTAAGCAGGAGAATCGGGAGAACCAGTTATGTAATTCAGTCAGAATCGGAAGGCTCAGGAGAACCAGGGGCCAAAAGTGTAATTCTCAGTCCAAGACCAAAGGCCTGACAATGGGAAGGTGCCTGTGCTGTAAGTCCTGGGGTGAAAAAGGTCTGAGTCCAGAAGCTCTGCTATCTAAGGCCAAAAGAAGATGGGTTACCCCAGCTCCAAAATGGAGAATTCACTCTTCCTGTGCACTTTCATTCTGTTGAGGCCTCCTAGTGAGAGGAGGACTACGTCCCTTAGTATACTGATTTAAATGCTGATCACTAATAGAAATATCCAGAAGTATGTTTGGATAAGCTGTCTGGGCATTCCATAACCCACACAAAATCACCCATCTAGAACCACCCAGGAAGAGAGTCTCAGTGAGGGATTATCTACCCACTCCCAAAACCTCCAGCCCTATGAAATGTCCCTCTGCTTAAACCCTCAATGGCTTCTCATTTCACTGAGAATAGAAGCTGAAAGCATTAAAATGGGCCACAAAGGCCTTTGCAGATCTTTTTATTCCCAGCCCTGCTTTGCTTATTCATTAGGATCCAGACACACTGGCATCAGCGTCTTCATCAGACATTCTAGGCTTGCTTTCATCTTAGGGTTTTATGTGTGTTCCCGGCATCTCTGTGGAATGCTTTTTGCCAGATACCATCTCAGTTCAGGTCTTGACTCAGCAAATGAAAGTCAGTGAAATCTTCTCTTGATGTAACTTAAAAAAAAAAAAAAAAAACAAAACTTGGCTTTGGCTTCTGTCTTAGTTAGAGGTGATATTGCTGTGAAAAGACACCATGACCATGGCAACTCTTTTTTTCTGAATTTTTTATTTAAAAAAAAATTTTATTCATTTTCATACACAGATTCCCCCTCTCATCCCTCCTCCCGCTCCCCACCCCTAGTCTTCTCCCCCTCCGACCCAACCTCCCATCCCCTCTTCCAAAAGGGTAAGGCCTCCCATGAGATGTCATTTAGTTGAGGAAGGACGAAGCCCTTCCCCACTGCATCAAGGCTGACCAAGGTATCCCACCATAGGTAATGGGCTCCAAAAAGCCAGCTCATACACCAAGGATAGATCCTGATCACACTGCCAGGGGCCCCTCAAATAGACCCAGCTACACAACTGCCTCCCTA